ATTAGAATTTTATTTTGTATACAGGTCCTGTAATAATGTTATAGAATTGAATTTAAATTTGGAAGGAGTCACAAGCATACAGTCTGGAAAGATCGTCAGAACAAAAATCAAACAGACAAGAAAATGAGAGAAATCTTTCCGACTACAGTTCCAAAAATTCGCAATTTTAAGTACATACTCGTAAAAGCAGCTGAGAAGAAGGATTTTGCGGACATTTATTGCGAAAGGTAGCTTTCGGAAGATATGGAAAAAAATATAAAATTTTTGATTTTTAAATTTATAAAATTAACACTTAGTCTTTAATGAATAGAAGAGTTCTCAAATAGAAATCAGTATAATATTACTTTTGATTTCATAATCTGAATGAAATCTAAGGGCCCAATCGTCTATCTCGCTATTTTAATCACTTTTTATTCATTTTCAAATCAGAATTCTCCGTTTTTCTAGTGAAGTTTTCATTTTTCCAATTATAGAATTATCAATTTTTGCAATTGGATTTTTGCATTTTCTCTCAAATCATCGGCTGAACATCTCACTTTCAAAAAATAAAGTGAATAAATTTTGTTCTAAATAATTCTTCTCACTCGAAAATTACATTGCACAAATATATGACATTTTCTCATTTTCTTCAATTGCCAAGTAAATTAGCAGAGTAAAATTGCCGAGTAAATAGACGATCTGGCCGTGCTCAGATTTGCTCAGTTTGCAACGTACCCGCTCATTACAGTTTTTCATAAAAGCAATTTTAAATGACCCTGTATTCTGTATTATCTAAAATGAATATAAGAGTTTTAAGGTTATAAAAAAAATAGAAACTTTTACATTTCTAAAATCACTTCAAAACAAAAAAAAAAAACTAATATTTTTGCTTCTTAATTTTTTGCAATAAAAGTGCTATAGTTATTATGGGAAAAAAAAATGTGTACATACAAGTTTGAAAAGTTTAATTGAATAAAATATAGAAATTTATTTTGTGCAATTATTTAAATAGGAATTAAAAGTTATAAATTGTAAGTTTTTTAAAATACAAAAATGAATACCTAAAATACAGACACATACCAAGGTTCCCATAATATAGAGTGTTAAAATACAGAAAGAGTCAACACAGTCATCATCATTGCAACTATATTAGAATATACAAATTATTCTACCAAATGATATTGCTGTCCCGAAATGCACAATTTTTTGATTTAAATCTAACAGCACTTTGTATATATATCAAAATATAGAGTTTGAAAAGTACAACATTTTCTTACCTACATATTTCCTTTTTTTAAAATCAAAATCAGTCATATGTTTAACAATTGACAATCACTTGCGCGAGCGCAACACAAAATGAAATTCATGACGCCTAGCATCAATAATTATTGAAGCACCAAATTTTCATATTTCCATGGAACTGTTAGAAATATACTGCATACTCATCAGGTTATTTTTCGCAGCATTGCGTTAATGAAAATCTCTATTAAATTGAAATAAGTATAAAGTATAAAATATAGAAAAATTCTGCTAGCCAACATTTTTAAAATAAAAATGTCAGTGTCCTTTGTCTTTATAAATACATATTTTATTTTTAATGTCTAATTACAAAAACTATTCTTTTCTTCTAAATTTATTAATAAATATATAAAACAAATGAGAAATATAATTTCTAATGACAAGCATTTTCTAAATTTTCATAACATTTATTGCTTATATTACGGAGACTCTATTAAAAACAATATTTTCTATAGCCGGCACCTATGTGTATGTAATTATTTAGAATTGAAAAAAAATTTCATGTCTCGTCGTCTGAATTTTCTTTTCTTATAATTTCTTTTTCAAATAAGAATAATTCGAATATTAAAGTGAACCTTACAAAACTTCATGAATAATGCCTTTTATATTAAAATCTTAACATTCGGTATAAAAATCATTAATATTCAAAACATTAGGTTAATTTTAACAATCTAATAAAATGGTAATTATCTTTTGGAATTGTAATTGTTATACATATGGTAATTACAATTTTTAACATATAACACATGCACAAAAATACAAAATAGAAAATACAAAAAGTACCTAAGTATAGACAAATTAAAAATTTTATAATTATGTAACAATGTACTACATACACGTACAAATTACACTACAAGTATATGTATGTAGGTATATTAACAAAACAATCGCTTTGAGCCAAACAATTTTAATAAACATATTCCATTTTCTCATTTACATACCTATACATATATTATGATGGGTAAACCAATGTCTAGCTTCTGTAAATTGCATAATCTAAACGAAATTGTGCAAATGAAAAATTTTCCATTATTAAATGAAAAACAACAAAGCAAAACTGAAATTCCGACATGCTCAGAAAATCTCTTCGCAGCTATTGCATTTTAAAAACCAATTTTCTCTCTTTCTTCTTCTTTTTTTATATTAAATACCATAAAAATGAAATTGTCAAGGATAATTACAATACCACATGACTATTTAAATTCAGTTATTTTAATAATGCTGTCTGCAATGTTTGAAAAAATCAAACATTTTATTTAAAATGTTTTGCAAACAAATTAGAAAACAACAAAGAACAAAAAAATCTTAATTTCCCTATTGAATACAAAATATTTTAAATATTTTTTTTTTCAAAACTATTGAAAATGTAATTGTAACGAGTAGAAATGTTTCTGTTGAACTTGGCTGACTGGATTATACCCATCCTGCACTTAGATTGGTTCAATTAGAATAGGCAGCCATCCTTCACAGAAAACAAATGATTCTTGAAAATTTGACTATGTTTACTTTAATTGTTTTTTAAAGTAAATTGCGATCGAACGGACATGTCTATAAAGCAACGCAGAATTTTACACTGAGCAACCAACAGTATCTATGTATATATTAATACTACAGATATTAATATAGGCGACGACTTCTTCCATATTACTTTTATAACCACCAAATTCCATACCAAAGTTAATATAGTCTTCACTTAAATGTGTAGGGTATAAGAAAATACGAGTATATATACGATAGTATATTTGTTTATTTAAAATTCCAATTTAAAAAAAAAAATTAGCATCACGTGATAGTAATTAATTTAATAAAAAAAGAAATTACTGTCATAACAATTATTGTTATTAAATTGCTGACATGAATTTCATTGCATTCTAGAAAAATAATTAAAACTTTTACATAATATTACATTTTATTTATATAACACAAAAATATACATAGTTAGAGTTTACTGTAAATGAAGAAGAAAAAACATTTTATTTAAAAAATTCTATTAAAATTAGAAATTACATAATTTTCAATTGAATTCAAGAGATCGATTAAATTTAAACTGATTTCTGTTATAAACAATTAGCGCTTACCTTATTATTATACTCATATGTAAATTATATTAATTTTCAAAAATTAATAAATACAAACTACTAATTCAGCTCGAGATAATATTAATTGTGATAATAGTAATTGTTGATAAATAAATTATTACTATGTATTTTAAAGACACGGATTAAGTAAAGAATCTTAAAATAATCATCATGTGAAATGTAACATAAATACAAACATGTATAGATAATTCATCACATTTAAAAAACTGTAATAAACAAAAATTTTCTACAAAAAATTACATACACACAGATTGTATAAGCACTCTAATTGTATCAGTACTTCTAACCAATACCCAAGAAATCACACACAGTATATCAGTTTTGTAATTATACAGTAACATTAAAATTGCTATGATTTTAGTGTACATAAGCAAACAGCATTATTTTAGTTGGCTCATATAATTGTCAAAAAATTAATTAAAACCGATGCACAGCTTTAGATGTAGCTTCAACACGAATATTATGTTATTTAATTTAATTAAATAAACCATTTTCAATATACTCTATATTGACATGCTACGATTTTACTGAATATCTACACTTTGTTCTCAATTCATATGTTCACGTAATCTACACACAAGTTACATATTAACAAACTCTACCAAACTTCCAAAATTTTGCAGATTATCCTTTTTATTAAGAAATTTTATTTTATAATGTATATCAGTTTTACAACAACAGTATACAGGGTGATTCACAAAAGGTGGCAAATATTTTCAGAAATGATTCTTTAATAAATTTCTAGCAAAAAATCGTAGGTGGAGGAGGGAGGCAAATGTACTTGATTTTGAGCTGCAAACTGTTGAAAATGGATTTTTTCTGCATATGTTATGTTATGTTACGTATGGGGCGAATTTAATCAGCACCTCCAACACACAGGTCTTTTGTCTTCAGATTCAGGCTCCTGATAAATTTTAACAGGCTCACCATGCACAACGATTCATGAGAATCCAAGTCCAAGGCCAAGAGATATCTGTAGCTAGAGCGGACCAAGGCATCACACTCAAATAGGATATGAGTGTAATCCGCTGTGCTCCGGTAGCAGAATCTACATTGCTGCGTATTTGATCTGCCCATTTTTTGTAAATATGAGTTAAAAGGCCAATGCCCAGTGACAAATCACGATCAAACCCTCAGTAAAAAGATTTTTTAGTCTTACAATTAGTTTGATTTGAGTCACAGTCTACGATATACAGCTCGTCAAAGTCAGAATTTTTTCACCCTGTATAGAGCAAAATATAAGAACAACAGAAGAAAAAATATAAATATTTCGTCACTACTGTACAAATACAAAACTTATAAAATAATAAAAATTTAATCAAAATAATTTTAATTGCGATTTACGAACATAATTTTTAAATCAAAAAAAAAATAACAAGAAAAAGAAACACTTTAGTTTTACTCTTATACCAATAAAATTTTTAATTATTAAATAAAAATATTAATCGAATTTTATTATTATTTTTCCCTCGCAAATATTTACTCGGCAACACTTCCCTCTTTTATAAAAATTATTCTTTAGTACGAATATTATGAAAATTTTTCAAAATGATAACAGTAAAATTAAATAAAACAAGTTTTTTTTTTTTTTTTTTTCTTTCTTATTAAATATTAATGTTCGCGTAATAATGAAGGTTATTAAAATATAAAAAAAAATATGTATATATATAATATAATTATATATAAAACAGTATAGTAAATATAATTAAATTAAAATTAATAAAAAGAACAAAAAAAAAACATAATTATTAATTATTTTCAAATTTTATGTCTTAATTACTACTTTTAAAAATGTAAATATGTGTATGTACTTATATATGTATGTATTAATGTTTAATTAAAAGCAAAAAAAAAACTTGATATTTTTCAATAATTTTATAAAAAATTTTTAATAGGCACTTAAATAATTAAAATAAAAATTCGATTCTCGATTCTTAAGTACACTTGATTCTTCTACTCTTCTAATACGCGGCGCAGCAGTGAGTACAAAAAAAAATCAAATTAAATTTTATATATAAGTATACATTATATTTTATAATGTCATGTTTTTTATATGCAAAAAATAGAAAACAAAAAATTATAAAATTAAAATCTGTCAAAAGATTCATCAAATTTTTATTTAATTAACTAATTTCAAAAATTCTTCTCTTGTTTTTGAATCATCTCTGAATGTACCCAACATTGTTGATGTTACTGTTTTACTATTAATTTTTTGTACACCACGCATTACCATACACATATGAACACCTTCAATAACAACAGCAACACCAGCCGGTTGTACTGCTTGTGTTACAGCAACAGCAATTTGTTTTGATAAACGTTCTTGTACTTGTAAACGTCTTGAAAATATTTCAACAATACGCGCTAATTTACTTAAACCCAATATTTTATTACATGGTAAATAACCAATTGATACTTTACCATAAAATGGTACCAAATGATGTTCACACATTGAAAAGAATTCAATATCTTTAACAACAACCATTTCATCATGATCTTCATCAAAAATAGCACCATTTAATACATCTTCTAAATTTTGATCATAGCCTTTTGTAAAAAATAACATTGCTTTAGCGGCACGTTCTGGTGTTTTTAATAAACCTTGTCTTTCTGGATCTTCACCTAAACTACTTAATAATAGACGATATGAACGTGCCATATCTGGTATAAGAGATTCACGTGTCGGTGGTCTATGATCTAATTCTAAATCATGATGGAATGTACAATTTTCATGTCCAGGTGTAGTTGATGTACGACGTGATACTTGCCTTGATAACATTGCAGATGATTCAACTGAAATTAAAAAGAATTTAATATTAATTTAATATTTTTTTTTCTTGAAAATTGTTAGTAAAAATAATTAAAAAGTAAAATAAAAATTATTACTTAATGCAAATTTTAAATAACGTAAAACTACTATTTTTTTATCCAGCTATAAAAAGCTCTTAATTTTATATTCAAAGTCAATTGAAAGCCCTACTTAATGCAAAAATGCAAAAATTTAATATAGACATCTCGTAATACAAAAATTTTGTAACACAAACTCTACTGGCATTTAATGACATTATGAACCAAACTGTTAGAATGTTGATTGATGAAAAATGTCAACATTATGGCATAAGTACATGTGCCTAAACAACACTTATTTAGTACTGCACCAGTCATTAAAAAACAAAATTATTTTTCGTATGAAAAGATTTCTTCATATTTTAATTTTTTTTTTGTACTTACGTTCAGTGTTCTGTCCCATATTGTCGAAGAGATAATTCTTTTCCATATGCTATTAAAAAAAACTAAATTTTCGCAAATAATTTTAACGATTGTGGTTAAACAATAATCATAGTTTAGTGACAACTAACAACTAATCTTTAAAATGAAAATTTATTGTTTATAGTCTTACATGATAATTAAATTTATTAAAAAAAAAATACACTCTTTATTATTGTCGTAATCTATTCATTTTAGAAAAAAAAAATTGATAGCTTAAAGCGATAAAATATAAAATATTTGAAAAAAACACGTCTCTAAGCGTTTAAATTTAGTACGTTGAACTTTGAATCCTTGAAGACTCATAATGATCACGGTAGTTGATATTTGACATTGCTAGGAAAATCTTAAGAATAAACTTATGCAGTACGTATATTGGTGTACAAACTCGCCTACAACAACATTAACATTGCAACATTCTAATCAAAACTGACATTTCCTTACTTCTTTTAATTCTGAAATTTTGCTCTTATGAAGCTTTAGAGAAAAGCTTTTGTTACAAATGTTTATGTTTACAAAGCAGTTTTTTCCTCTAAGAAAATTCATCATAATTTTCTCAGTTATTAAATCTACATAACGGCAATATCAAAAATTGATGTCAAACATTTGGATTAATAGCTTCTCAAAAATGAAATTTTGAGCTAGAAATTTTTTAAAAAAAAAAGTTAGTTATTTCAAAAAAGCTTATAGCTCTAGCTTTGATTGCATATTCTTTGAAAAAATTCCGCGTCAAACATTTTTTAAATTCGGTAAACGCAGAAAAGTAGTGGTACAGTTCTTTTACTGTGGCATACCATATTCGAACTTTAAAAATACGAAATGGGCATTATAATTTACCGTTATCTAAAATCCGTTTTTCCAGACTTCAGGTTGCAGGAATCTAAAATTTTACTAACTTTTAGATACAAATAAATACTTCATTTCGTTAAAAGAAAGTTATTTCGATACGCCTCTCGAAGTTTGTAAAATTTGAATTTTCGGCATCTTATATTATTCATATTTCTTACAACTACAAGCTTTTTTAAATTTGTTTGAAAGCAGGAAGCTTACGGTAAATGCCATACCATCAAAAACTATAATTATTTTTCTTAACTCACTAAATTAACCCTTAAATTCGATCTTTATGTTAACTCCTCTTTAAATATTTTTTTTTTATTTTAATTTAAAGACAACATAGAATGCTCATCCTAAATGTATGCAATTTTTGAAATATATTCGTATATGAATGAAATTAATTTTAATAATGTAGTACATTTAAACACTAGATCATTTTTAAAAACAGTATTTTCACTTATCGAAGAGAGAAGTGCTACATTATAAACCATTTATTTAACCCAACTCAACATTGAATATTTTTTTATTAAATAAGAGAGCATTTTATGTTTAATATTTCTATTCTTCAATGTTATGAATTTCTCACAATACTTAAAAAAAAGTTGTTCTCACATTTAAAATAAAACTTCTAACTTTTAATAATAAATAACCGAGCTTTCTTCAAGATTATTTTTTCATATTTCAATGTTATTTCACTATCAAAGGTTATTCCATTTTTGCCTTGTCTACATGCAATATGTACATAATTTAAATATAGTTTCTGTGTTCAGACGGATATTAGATAAAAACTTGATTTTCATTATAAATAAATTAATTAATTCACTTTCCAATAATAAATGATTTTATAGCGCACATGTAATTTTTATTAACGAACATATTTTATTATTTAAATGAGAAAACAATATACGAAGTGTGCCACAAAAGGTCAAATCTTTTGATGATCGAGTAAGAGGTCAAATCAGTATTAATTCATTTTGTTTTTTTGTTTTTTTCTAGAGAAATGATATGACTTGTGTCAAATGGATCCATGATTTTTTTTTTTGTTGATGAGCTAAACTTATATATTTGGGGTCTAAAAAATTTGATTCAGTTTAAATATTTATTTAAAATAAAATATTGGTAATGCTTAATTATTATTATTGTTACAACAATTATATAGTAGCCATCAAGTAAGGCAAATTATGAAAGATGAGATTTCTCAAGTAAGACTCATTATACTGCTCTTTGTCTTTATTAAATATTTCAAATTATAAAATATCGTCTTCGTTCCATTCCTTCTGTGATTACACTAATTATTCTTCTGATAATTAAACTTAGACACGATTTACTAAAATTTTAACTGAGCTCAGAATTTAAATTTACAATTTACTGCAAGTGTTTAAAAAATTAAATTAGAATTTGAATTATCGTGCAGATAATTGACTTAAAATTGACTATATTTTTAAAAGTAATTTTTATGGTCATTTAGTTTGCATATAAAATCTTTTTAAAATTTACTTAAAATATTATTAACTTTATACTAATTACTAAAACTTGTCTTAAGTGACTTTGTATACTAAATATAATAATTAAAATATGATAAAAACAATACAAGAAATAAATTTATTTTTATAAAATACCTGATTGTTCACGTCTTAACATTTTAATTGTGTCACCATCACCATTTTGTTCTGAATCATTTTCATTAATATCACCATTCAATTTTGTTATTTTATCAGTTGATGATTGTTGTTGCTGATTAACATCATTAATATTACTATAATTAAATTTTTTACCATCATAATTTAATGATGATGTTCCTGATGCACTACTAACACTGCATATACTATTATTACGTCCTCGTGATAATACATGAGATTGTGGAAAATTTGTATCATCAATTGCTTCATTTAATTCACTAGCACTTAATTCAGATAATTCTGATAACTGACGATGAACTCGACTCATTTTAGTGATTTTTCTCTTTATAGTTCTATTTATATTTTCTCAAATTTTTTTTTTTCCTTTACTTTATTTTATTTTCTCTTTATAATGTTATTTAATTTAACATTAATTTCTTTTTTATTTACTTCTATGCTTTTTTTTATTATTATTATTTTTTTTTAATAAATAATTACAATTTATTTTTGAATTTCAATTAGAATTTAAATAAATCACATTAATTAAATTAATTATTATTTCGTATGTATGTTTTGTGTGTATGTATATTTAACAAATATTTTTATTATAATTTATTCACTTCTTTTATTTTCTAAGATCAATCATTGAATAAGCGAATGCACGATACTGTGACAGAGAGAGTTCTTAACAGAGTTCTTATCAATCGTAAACTGATTTAAATTTTATATTGACTAGATGCTAAATAAGCTCGTTTTATAAAATATTTTTTTTTTATTTTTTCTTTTTTTTTTGTCAAGTCAATAGTATCTTTTTGTATTAATTTTAATATTTTGAATAAAAAAATTTTAAGCGTTTTTAAACCAGTTAGTAATTTAGGCGGGGCAACTATCACTTTTTATTATCGCGTCTTAAATAAATTCTCAATATATTATTTTTGTTAATTTTTTATTGAATTTTCTTCTTCTTCTTCTTACGTATATTTTTTTTTTGTTTTGTTCTTCTCTGTTCTTGTTATTCGCTTTTAAAAAAAGCAACAGCAATTTGAATACATAGAGTATAATAACGAAAACAACCACACTAATATATTGTGTTGAGTCAAAATTAATTACATACTAAGTATGTATGTTATTGATAAAAAATTTTCATTCTGTCTTGACAGTAAATATTTCAATAATAAAATATGTGTACAACACTCACAATAAAAATCATGATGACGGTAGATAGCGAACGATAAAAAATAATGTAATAACAACAGTAATTTGAGAAAATTTTCAGAAGAACAACAAACAGAAAAAAAGAAAAAGAAAAAAATTACCAAAGAATTTTCGTGGTGACTCAATAGACGCGCGCGTCAGAATGCGTTTTAAATTTTTATTTGTTGATAAATTATTTCTCTTTTTCTCTTTTTGTTTTTTTTTTATATATTTTATTTGCCTTTAGATAAGTGTAATTTTTCACTTTGGTATTATACTATTATAAATGAGAGCTTACCAGGTACGACAGTAGTTTTTATTATTTATACATATTGCCGCCTATAATGATGTTAAAGAGGTACGTAAGAAATACATTTGCGTACTTTAGATATAATTTTATGCTATGATATATAATTTGTATTAATAATTAAGTTTGACATACAGTATGTCAAAAAAGTATATTTGAAACAATAATGCCAACTTAATAAATTTTCTATTAATTCATTGGGTTATTTTTAATATCGAATTCAAATTGTTAATCTGAGGTTTAATTCTGAAAGATAAAAATGTTTCGGTTTAAATAATATTCGAGTTTGAGTTTCCGAATTTTAATTTCCGAATTTTTATTTGCGTCACTATCATATTTTTTATTTTTCTATTGCGCCACTATTGTGCCTATTCCTATCATATTTCATATTCGACTTATATAATTCTGAAATAAAATGAAAATTTTCTTAAAGGAAGTAGCTGTAATTAAAGCTGTTCGAATTTAGGCCAATACTTTTAATGAAATTTCCGTTCGGCGATCAATTCTCCAAAATACTTTTCTAAAATTTCTTAATTTATATCTCAAATTCAATTGACACTAATACGAGTGTCATCCTGACTGACAAAGATTTATATCTGAACAATAATCACACTTAAATGTTTCTTATTTGCTAGACACTAGCTGAACTTCGCAAAATAACAATGTTTTCTTCATTTTATTGAATGTTACCAATATTTTAGTTGCATATTTTCGCCTACCAGTTAACGTTGCCAGTGTTGAGTTTTCATTATAAATATACATGTATAGTTAAACTACCTATTTAACGTATATATACATATATACAATTTTATTTTAATTCATTTTATTAAGTTTTTTTTTTAAATCAAAGATTCGTGACTTTAGAATATAATATGGAAAGAAAAACTAAAAATTATTGATATAAGAAGGAATTATTTATGCAATAAATAAAATTAAACAGCTGCTTTTTGGTTGTCATTACATTGTCTTATTAACTGATATAATTTTCATCATATACGTATATACTTGCATATTAGTATTATCTAGATTTGAATTTATGCACGCTATATAATATTATAATATAAGCGACCTTGATTTCGATACTAACTATAGAAATCTAGTATCATGAGTACATTGTACTCTTACAGAATAAAAACAAAAAAAAATAAAATAAAATAATATTGAATTTTCAGACGACTGTATAACTATTTTGACATTCTTATTGAAATATAACTAGAACTTAATTTAAAATATTTGTAAAAAAAAAATAATAGTAGTCTTGTATTAAAAAGGTAATATGGGGGACTGCAAATTATGTACAAGTTTTGATTCACAGACTTGATTATTTAAATTTAATGGAAAATTATTAACGTTGCAGTTTTAATGTAAATAATTATCTGTTCTATTGATTTATATTTAATTTAATTTCTGCTCTAAAAATGATATAGAAATCTCATGTTATGTACATGAAGTTAAAGTATTTTAAATTTTATTAAAATAAATTATAAATTAAAATTACAATAGAGAAATGTTACGTGTTTAGTGTATAATTTAAAAAAAAAAATTATCCGTGCAATTGATTTTGCCTAGTTGGAATTCATTTAAATTAAAGTTTTATATAAATATTCCGTAGCCCCTAAATTGTTATAATACTGTTTCTATTTAATCTGTTTCACCCAATTTGTCGAATTTGGCCAATTAAATAAAAATGTTGAAATTTATAGTGTTTTAAATATTTTCTCCTGAAAAAATATAAATATATTGAACCCTTCTTGTATAATATCCACGAATCATGTTTAATAATTAGACATTGCCCTTTATTTCAATAAATTAGAATGCGAAAAATTAATGTGAGTAGAAATTTTAATTTATATTACCGAAATTGAATCCATAGCTATATATTGAATCGCTAAAAAATCAGAGCTCATTTTAAAATTTAAGAATTTTTTAAATAAAATTTTTTTGAAATTTAATTATTTTCATATAACCATCATATATACTAAAATACTACAATTTTCGGGATGGTATACAATGAATAATAAGTATACTAAATATATCTGTTCAATTTCCAACCGATTTCAAAGAACAATATGGTTAAGCTAGGGAGCGTTCTATATATGTAGAAATTAATATTGACACTATTATGCTAAGAATTTTTCAATAGTACAATATAAAATGGTTTCAATATGACTAACATGTTTGATTTATTTATGCACCTTTTAAAAATTTTCTTCACAGTCTGTAACACAAACATGTATACATAGAAAACTATAATTTTATAACTTTTTAATCGTTAAATTACTCATAAAATTTAGTTTATTGTACAACTTTATTTTATAGTTTTTATTAGAAAAATTAAAAACTACTTTCTTTTTAGTTTTTTTACCCGTTTATGTCGTCATAATTAAATTGCACTTCACTTGCTCAAATGAATTTTCATAGTTATTAAGAATAAGATATTAATTTTAGTATTTTCGTCAAAACTTCAGTTTTTAAGGGAATTTCCCATTTAATATATTTTAATTATAACAGAAACAGAAACAATTTAAACCAAAAATCAGAAATCAAATATTTGCGTACAATGAATCAAATATGTATACGAATCTTATTGGTATATTTGAAGTTTACCATGTGCAAATAAAAAATTTTATTAATATTAAACATACGAAAATATTTGAGTCATTTTTTTTTAGATATCTACACACAATAAGCACATAATACGTTCCTACATACTTATGCACAAGTTATTCAGTTTAATTGTTAAAAAATCTTGTAGGAAATCCCCGTACAATTAAATAATGATTCAGTTTTGTATAAAGTATACCAACATACGATATGCGATCGCGAAATTTATTGTTAAATTACTCGCTTGATTTATCGTAAAATATATGTAATTATATATTTTCAAAATTGTATTTAATATTTATTTTACTATTGTAACTATTTTCTAATAAATAATTAATTTCAGATATTTCACATATATATATATTATATATATTGTATGTAAAGAATAATGTACTGTTTGCACATTTATATCCCAGCTTATTTTTATTCAACTAACTTTGGAAGACTTAGTTTAATATTTTTTTTTCCTTCCTCACTCCTAGGAGGAGTATACGGCTAGTGTATGATATTATGCACTAGTTTCATAGCGTCATAGAGTTTACTAGGTAGATGACTAGCCTGCCGTAGTTTTATTTATATTAAACATTTAAGTTTATTAATATTTACTGTTGGCTTTTTCTTAGTTTTTTTTAATATCGAATATTATAAATATTTGAAAATTACTTGTATAATATTTATTAGTATTGTATATTAAGTTATATAATATTGATATAATTTTTATAATGACCTGACCGGGTTTTGAATTCAAGACCCTTCGGTTGAAAGGGCCATAATCACTGCACCAATGGTCACTTTAATATTACCTTTTATTATTAAAACAATGTTTTGCTCAGCACAATCTGAGAAGGCTGCGTTTTACGACCTGTACTAGATGCACCATCGAAAGATTTACTTTTATCATAAACAATATAAGTACTGTTGCAACAATTGATTTATATCAACCACTGTTTCTTTTTAACATCAAGAGAGGAGTTTTTATTATATCAACGTCTTTGTTTTGTTTCGGAAGGGCTCATTTTTTAAAATCAGCAAACAGAAAGTGTCCCGTATTTCTAAATCACCAAGTGCTACATTTTGTTTTTTGATGCATTTTTGAGTAGGTTTTTTTTGTTTTCCTTACTTATCTTCTAAAAAAGATAACTGTAAAAGCTTTTTGGTTTTAACAATTAAAAGAGTATATGTGTATTAATTTTAGCTCTCCATGTTGGCAATTAGCTAGGTTGAATAGACTGAAATATTATCGTAGGCGGATGCCCTGCCGTCTTCAATAACAAATATAAGCCTTATTTGTTACTGGAATTGTAATAATTTTTTGTTTATTATTTCATTTAAGTTAGAGTCCACTCATCATAATTGTACGGATTCAAAATCATATTTTGGCACCAGATGTTTCTAACAAAATACACAATGTTTACATAATTTTACTATTATTCTATGTACATACATGGGTACATACAAGGTATATAGAAAAACCATTATAATTTTTTCTAAAATATTATATACAAACAAATATCCAGGTGCTCAATTCACAAAATCAAACAAATTATGTGTGTACACATTTAATTATTGATATTTCAGACCTTAATATAATGAAAGCAAAAAAAAAAACCAATACAATTACCATTGTTATTTAATTATAAAAATTTCATTAAATTATAATTAAATATTTACATTTAACACCATAATTAATTTATTTTAAAAATATTTTTTATTTAATCAACGTTATACTCTTCTTTTTTTTTGCCATTTTATTATAGCTGTCGCGGTTTATTCTTATTATGATTTGTTTTTT